GCAAGCTTGGTCATGAATCTTTGGCGTTGGCCCAACTTCGTTGAGCCACGTATGGGCTGAGATTTAGCACTCAATATGACCCCTTCTCATCGTAATAAGCCCTACCTCCATACTACCTAAAGGTAATCCTCATTTTCCTCGTGAGTCTGACAAAAAGTGGTTGTGCAGCCAATGACGGATGATTTCATACTTTTTGCAATTTTCGTAAAATTCCGCAAATAATCCGATATTTTCGTGAAATTATCGATGAATTTTTGAACTCAGAAAGTTAGAGAATTGCTCAAATCAACCCTCAACTATTTCGAAGGTCCCCCACCATCTCCACATAGTACATATGACCCGTATGCAGAGGAGAAAATACAACCCCCCCCCTCCCTCCCCTCCCCTCCTCTTCTTGCATATTTGAGGAATCTTCGACCTTGGCTCGCTCTCCTCGGGAACCTCCTTGAAGCTGCGGAAATCGGAAGTTATGGTTGACTTGAAGACAAGCAAAACATCCAAATTTTTAAAAACGATAAGAACTACATATAATTTGTAGCCAAATAGGAGAATAGAAATAAACCCACGTTATAGCAGTCACTGCATGTTGGATTGTCATCGATATTGTAGAACGACGTTCCGGCTAGGGTTTTACCGCATGTCTTGCATTTGAAGCAGCTAATGTGGAAAATCTGAAAGTAGAATTTTCAAAGTGGATAGTGGATAGACATTTTATTCATTGCTTCAGTAATTTATCGGTTTTCTACCTTCTGTCACAATAATGTCTGAAGTTTTCAAGCTTTTTTTCCATGATTATCTCACTTGTCATGAAGTGTGGCAAAATAGACTCAGACTCGCTAAATCGGATGAACTGTGCGATATTCGCAGAGAAGAAATGCTCCAAAAATCGCATGTTTCGAAACCAAACGGGCTTGCCGCCGCCCTCTTGCCATAGCCTTTCCTCCAAGTAGAACGTATACAAGATAATAGGCAGACTTCAATCCCACCGGCTGTTAGCTGTTACAATTGGTCATGGAAGAAGAAGCTGGATCATCGGCTAACCCATGCAGATCATTGTTTGAGCCAAATTGCATACGAATGTCATGATTTTGAATGATATTAAGATGCTTGGCGCATTCTGGCCTGGGATTGTTTTGAACTTCCCATGGAACCTTGGAAGGAGAATTAGGTGCATCGATAGAGTCTTACGCTCGCTGATTACAAATATGGACACTAAAACTGCTACGTGAACTTTGTAAGAAAGTTGTGAGCCTTAAAAGTTGCAAAAGAACGCTAATGATGAGGTGCAACCTATGTGGAAACACGGTTGCTTTTTGCCTGGAACTTGTTCTATAAGGGTAAATGGGTGCCCCTGTTTACGAACACGAGACTCGTTTTGGCGCTGAGGCCACCACGACTGTGATCCCACCAGGTAAGCCTCGCCTCAATACGTTCTTCGCCGACTTTGAAGGCTCATAACTTTCTTAGGAAGTTCACTTAGTAGTTTCAGTGTCCATATTTGTAATCAGCGGTTCAAGACTATCAATATCTAGGCCCCCTTCCAAAGTTCCATGGGAAGTTCAAAGCATTTCCCGGAAAGAGATAGCTAATCAGCTAATCATAGCTAATCAGACTTTATGTTCTAGTCGCGTAGTGTAACTGGATAAGATCACGCCGTCGCTTTCATGTCACCTCTGCCACCTCTGTTTCTTTGTGCACTCGCCCTAGTATTCTTAGGAGGTCTCGCTCACACCCTCTGAACTCGAGAATCACTAGTAAATGGGGGGGGGGGGGTGGCGGTTTCGCCTTTTTTTGAACAGTTTTTGGCGGTTTCGCTTTTTTTTTTGCTTCCTTTGATGCTCGATTGTTCGATTGGAGAGGGGGAGAGAGAGGTGAGGAACAACCAGCATCTATACTTAAATTCGTCAGTAGGCTAACCTTAACAGAACTTGATCTGAACTATGACTCTCATAGGTTGATCAAGGGAACAATATTAACAATTTTGTCCACTAAACAAGCAAGGACGATCATATTTGAATTTGAGAGATTGAGAAGCATAGCAGCAGTGTCAAATATGGAATTTTCCCTCTAGGGAGCTGAACCGCAGTTAGATGACCGAAAACAAAAAATAATCGATCCAAAGGGCAAAGAAATTTCCTCAGGATAAATATGTCACTTGCCACGGATGAGTTCTTTAGTGTTTTCCCCATGCATTGCTGTTTGCTGTCGTGAGCTCTTGTCACAACACATGTCTGATGACACCAAACTGTTATTGAAACGAGCACTTTCGCTTCGTTATCTTGCTTCGAAAACGAGGGTTTTTTGTCAGGTTGGGCGAACAGAAGCGAAGTTGATCGGCAGGAGCAGCGTCATTATCAACTATTTCAATCTGACGATGAGAGACAGCTGGCTCTTTGTGCGATAGCTAGGTTTTCAGAGAAACTGAGCATCTTTTCTGTGGAAGTGATCTCGGTGAATCCTGCCGTCCTTTTCTTCCCGACATGGATCTGAGAGAACTAACTGATGAGATATGGTGTAAAGGCTGATGCTGGTACTGCTGTTATTTACTTTGGATCGTATACGGATTTGATAAAAGAGCAGCATAAAGCCTCGCGTTGATAATCCCGTTGGGATGCGCGCACGCATTCTGATTCCTATTATTATGGTGAGGGCAATTGAATGCTATCTGCCACGGCGGAAACAGCGATGTAACAAGTCAATGTTTTATACTCCCAGACAAGTCTGGTACCAATCAACCGACCATAGAGGGATGGGGGCTTCGCTAGCTCGAGCGACGCAAGCGGATTTGATTTCCAGGAGCGTCCGCGCGTGAGCAGCATTTGCTCTGCCCTCTGTAGCCGAGACCACCTGTCGCTGTATTGGATATCTATAAAGGATAAAAGGATAAAGCATTTGCCGTTGATCAATCCCTTTTTGGGATGCGGCACGCATTCTACTTCCATTTGTACATTCGCAGTGGCGTTTGAATGCGATGTGGCCTATACAATGACTTGCGGGGGCCAGCCGATGTACAAGTCAGTGTTTTTATCCTCCCAGACAAGTCTGGTACCAATTAACCGACCCCGGAGGGATGGAAGGCTTGGTTGGCCCGGGCGACTCACGACCCAGGATTTGATCCCGGACCGCTCGCGTGGTGCCACTTGCCAACTTGCTTCCCACTCCGCCTTGGATATCTATAGAATTCTGATCAAACTGGCTCTATATATCAAACTTCTTGGTAAGGAGGGTATCTACCTAAGAGCCAACTATGGCGAGGATTCGCGGCGGCGTCAAATGACTCAATCTTGGATGTTCCAATTAGAGAGGGGTGCAAACCATCATACTAGGTTTTTTTTACCTTTTGGCATTTAACTTGATGGCAGGTGGCGATAAATGGTATCTCGAATAAAGGCAATCGCGCCTACTAGGAAGAGGTGCTGGCTCTTCTGGGCTTGAGCGAGACTCGATCTAGGTGTTTTCATTGGTCATTCTCATGAAATGTGGCGCCGCTTGCCACTACACCATCCTGCCACTACAGAGTGAAAAAATCGCCAGGGTAAAGGTAGAGAAAAATGATTATCCTGGATGGCTGTTGCATGATCTCAACCAGATACTGTGTAATTAGGTCCTGAGGTTTCCCAGTAATTTCTTCTCTGTCTCGGCCGTATTTAGCACCCCTTCGATCACAATAATTCCCTACTCTCTGAAAATTTTACCGGTTTGTGTTCTCATCACATCAGGGGGTCCCAGTTCTTCGAAAACGGGGTTTTCAGCAAGGTGGCGGCGCTGATTCTGACAATATTCCTTAGGTTCCTTGGGTACTTCTTCTTCATGGAACTGATTTCTACCCCCATATTTGAAGAGATTATTTCTTCTCAGGGATGTCATTCCGAACATTCTTCCCATACGATCTCATCACGCAATCATGTCTTAACCGAATTGCTCACGAGCCGTGAAGATACGGAAGCGATAAACCGTAGCGAGAAGGGGAACTGGAGCGACACTTTCTTTGCGTGATATCGTTAAAATATTGTGCATTTGACAACCCTTCAGCGGCTTAAGGTTCGAACGCAAGATTTGAATATTCTCAAGTGGTATAAATGCCAGCAGCAGCTTACCAGGAAAGTCTTCCAGGTCATGAAGCGATTTTACAAATTGTTTTTGCACTTCCAAAGGTAAGCGCTTGGACTATGAAAATGAAATTCATTTTTTCTGAGCGGCCCTCTAGAGGCAAGAAAAAGGACGAAAAATTTTTTTTGGAATGCAGTTTTACTTCTGGGCTAATATTTATTGAGGAATTGTAGCATTGACTAATTGCATTTCAGAACGTTCTTGTAAACATTGAAAACAATTTTTTCAGAGAGTCCCTACCAGGCGAATCATAGCCGTTTTCATCCAAAGATCATTCTGGATCTGGGAGAAAATTTTTAGGGTGAGAATGAGGTTTGGGAAATTGAGGAACGTGAGATCCAAGTACCTTTTCGATTGTTGGCTCTGTCCCAAAACGTTATGCGGGATGCAGACGTTCCACAATCATGACAAATAAGGTAGGCGTGGCTTATCCAAGAAATCTTCTACCACGGGAAATCTATCTGTTAAATCATGTAATGTTGTCGCTGTTCATTAACGGACTGACTGGCAGTAGCTGCGTCCGTTTAGGGAAGCACTAGATAGACTCATTTATTTACCGCGACTTGTGGATTTTGGCTCCTTCAGAACGTTGCAGGGATTGACTGCACCACAAGCTCCCTAAAGTGCAGCATGGACCTAGACTAGACAGGCTTACCAATGATCCCCATGCTAAGTGCACCTTGACGAGATTTCGTTTAGCGATTCGAGTGGCACTTCACCTCTCTTGACGCACCTTTAGTTTTCCCACCGTTGGAACCTCTCATCGTCGGAGGTAATTGCACAGCAAAGTACAAAGTAGTTCAGTTTGCTGTGCAAATCTAACAAAGCGCACACCCTACGCCCCAGCAGTGTGCCCATTCAGGGCTGGGAAACCAGTTCAGGTAATCGGCTGTGCGAATAAATTAAGGTGACAGAGAAGAGAGGAAATGCGTCGAATCAACCACAAAGAGGATGGTTCTTCGCAGCAGTTCCATCGAAAATTACATCGCTTTTTCCAAATTCTTTGGGTGGCCTCTTAGGTGTGCTTTCAACAACCGCAACGATTTGAGCATGGCACTTTACGAATCTTCGTCAAACTTTGTAGTACGGTAAATAATGAGGACGTTCTCAAAGCTTCATTCTTCCTTGATAGAGAAAGGGACATTTTCTGCCAGCATCCGCGGACCATTTACAAGAAAGGGTGACCTTACCAGGCCGAAAGCCTTAGCCACGTTGCTTACTCGTTAAACCACTTACAGATATCTTCATTTCCTCCGAGAATCCGCAAGCCGTTTCTCATTCAGAGAGCTTCCTGGATCTGAGAGATCGCCTGGGGTGAGAACAAGGGTTGGACCAGTTTTAGGGTCGCGAAAACCATACCCCACTCAGAGTGACCCCGAGTTGGCAGTAGGAAGAGTTATACTATAAGACATGAGGAGGACTTTCTCGGGGTTTGTACGACTCTTTAATGGAAATCACCTGCTGTCCTAAGATTACGCTTGTCCAGCTCTGCTAATCGCTTACTTGAGTGGAAGATGGGGCCAATCTGGTACGGACACTTTAGCTGGTAGGTTCGGTGCACAAGCGCATTTCGAAGCTCGGGTATCTTCACCTCTGATCGCTGCCCTCATCGCATTCCCCGTATTCACCCATGGATATTAGTTTGAAGTGGAGGACATGACTATTCAATTCAGCTCTTGTAAATATCTCTTCGAAGGTTCTGGTATTAGCTCGTTAAGGTTTTTTGGGAGAGTAAGGACGGGCAGCCGCAAAACTTGAAGTCTGGTTGATTTTTTCGGAAGTCGGAATTCGGAACTGCTTTTTTCCTCACAATCCCCGGGAGGCGCTTTTTATCTGACAATTTGCTTTGGAATGCAAGCGAGGGGGACAAGTTCAAGATGAGAGGAAAGTGATGAATGGCCAATTGTTTTGCCGAAGCAAAGACACGATTGTTTATCAACGCCGTCAGCTATGAATTCAAAAACAATAGAGCAGACAAAAAGAAAGGCATATTCGGAAGGAAAAGCTGAAAAATGAAAAATTGCGCTTCGGAAATTTCTGCAGTTTTCCGATCAATATGCAAAAGTCTGGGCAAAAATAGCCACCGATAGATCTCTACGCCTTGGCGATTACAGCCGGCTGTTGCTGTCTAATCGCCTAGTGTTTATCATTGAAGTAGCCTACACAACATGTGTTTATTACGGCACTACTGCACTAGAAGAAAAACACGCACAATTACACAATTATAATTTTTTCTTATTACCGCGGAAATTCTGCAAAATTGCGTGCTTTCATGGATTTTTCAGATTGCTTTCATTGTTTTTTATACATTGGAACGTGCAAACATTGAACCTTGGTGACTATTGAAAAGTCGATTACGGACATTCGGAAGTAATTACCGTAATCTTGTGGATTCTGAAAAACCGTATGCATACCTGGTTAAGTGCAGTGCATCCTGGATTGGTTCCGCTGACGGGTTGTTGACAACTGGCGCATATGGCTGAAATTATTCTTAGTTATTGAAGATGAATATTAATCCTCTGAGATGATGAGGTTGTATCCAAAAAAGTTTATTTAGTTTTTTTTGAAGAGATATTTCGTATTCTTCTTAAGAGAATTTTTGGAGCTTTCTGTGAAGATTTATTCGATGGGTGATTTGTGGTTTTTCGGCAAGCCGGAAAGGACGCTTGTCTTTTTTTGGTGCACCTGCAAAGTGCAGACAGGGTTGTCATTCACAAATATGGCATGTTTTAGAACTTTTTGGCCGTTATTCGTTTGATTGCACTATTTATGTTATGGTTGTATTATTTCCCGGCAATAGTGGCAAGTGGCGCGCTTACCACGCGAGCGGTCCGGGATCAAATCCTGGGTCGTGAGTCGCCCGGGCCAACCAAGCCTTCCATCCCTCCGGGGTCGGTTAATTGGTACCAGACTTGTCTGGGAGGATAAAAACACTGACTTGTACATCGGCTGGCCCCCGCAAGTCATTGTATAGGCCACATCGCATTCAAACGCCACTACGAATGTACAAATGGAAGTAGAATGCGTGCCGCATCCCAAAAAGGGATTGATCAACGGCAAATGCTTTATCCTTATCTTATATACTTCCTATACAGTAAGCTATTATTAGACGTATGAGGCGCAAAATGCTGTCATGTAATGCAGTGGAATGGGGCGCTGCTATTTATGCACCTGCACAGTGTAGTTCCCCAGTTCTTCTTTAGTTTCTGCCTGACTGAACTTTTGGGCTATTAATCAAAAGCTCTGAGTTAGCCCGGAATAATAGAAGCGTGGGGTA